TTTTTTTCTATTGTTTCGAAACACATGAAATGGTCATTCCTTACCAAGCAAATCATTTACGAATTGTGAGAAGAAGTCATGAATTTCAATCAGTTAACCACTTTCGATTTGGACGTTCCCCTGGAAATCTTTGAACCATGGGATGATTGGGAAAATGAGTTTGAAAAATTGCCACAGGTAGGTGCTCTCTGTTTCTCTGTATTTTGCATAAACGTTCTCTCTCTGGTCGAGTATTGTTTCCAACTTAACCAAGTTTTACTTTTTTGGGGTTACTGGACGGCCTCACTTGAACCAAATACAGAGTGGAGCTGGCAGGAAACGACTAGCAGAGGTAGGTTTTACAATACTAATTAACATACCTTTAGGTTGTTCGACATACTTTATTTATAACCACGAAGAGTTCAGGAGTCGTAGCTCGTTAAATCCCTCTCGTGAACTGAAATAGTCCAAAAATACAAATAGATAAAATCACAAAAATTAAGAAGTTATAAAAGTAAAACATGGAATGACTCTTTGACTCTTTTTGTTTTAAACGGTATCTCGTGTCTGATTTTATTGCTAGCAATTATTAGTCGCGTGTTTAATTAATAGGTAGTTACGTTTTATTCCATTTATTGTGAACTTGCCACCACCAAAAATTACGGAAAATTCAGCTCGCATTATCCCCACGCTTACAAAACAAAATGGTGACACTCACACGGAATATATGAAAAATTAAAGATAATTGTAAATAACAGTTTTCTGAAGTTACCCCGGACATTTGCCAAAGTCGCATTTTTTTTACTCGAGAAACATGGGCTGCTAATTTACAATGAAATTAATATTATTATTATTTTTAGAAAACCCCTCCGATTTAACTCTTAGTCTAGACCTTCAGGCGTCAAGATTCAGCTTTGCATGTCAAAAATCGTATCTCAGAGTAGACATTTTCCACAAGGAAAATTTCATGGAGATACAAAGCTTCTGTTTTTATAGGTTAGTTTCCGATTTAAAACTACATTTGCAATCAGCGGCTTTTATTTACCGGTAAATACGTTGTGTTTGAAACCTCCATTTGTTACCCTGAAATGATTTTGTGACCTCGAACCTTACCGCGGTATATACTAGTAAAGGGGAACAATGTCTATGTAAGCCACACGATACGTCCTCTTTCAAATGTCCCTGATATCGGACCTTACGGTTTTAAGGACAAAAGAAGTGTTTAACAATGTGTGACCTCTATTATATTCAGTAAGGTATTACTGTAAACAAAGGCCAATAAAGTACTTTTTCAACATATCCTTCTTTCTATTATGCTTTGCGAAGGAAATTTACATAGAACTTATCATTTACACAAAATGTTATTTTTATGTTACTGCAAAAGAGTCTTAATACCTGAGTCGTCTTGGCGCAGACGTTTGGCAGCCGTAGAAGGTCTACTGTGTGCTGATTTTCCATGTGCTCGAAATGGAGCCAGATTGTGACCTCACCACCTCACCACAGGTATTACATACGTATTCCCGCTGAGCCGCTCGGCGTTCATGAACTTGTTTCACATGTCGTTTTAAGGCATCTATTCGATTAAACTTTCGCCCACAGAGGGAAAATTCGTGTCGCTTTCCAAGAACCGGATAGCGTGGCGTTTTAGAAGAAGTAGAGTCTACTTCATCCTGTAAAATTTATAAGGTATATTAACGACGGATTTACAATCCGTTTTAGAGATACCGTGCGACAAGTATTATTTGCGCGGTCTTACCTCAAAATTACGTCAACAATTGAACAAAGCCTTTTATCTGCATGGTTTTATCATTCTTTTATTTATACCATAAGTTGTTTTTGTAAAGCAATAATTTAAGTCCGTCAAACTTAAGAACTGGCTTCATTTATCATATTATCTAAATCGAATCAATCGTAAGATAACTTTTGTAGAAGCTGTTTCTTCTCAATATAATTGTTGATATGTAAATACCATTTAACCACTGCTAAATTTATGTATTCCATGTTTTACTTTTATAACTTCTTAATTTTTGTGATTTTATCTATTTGTATTTTTGGACTATTTCAGTTCACGAGAGGGATTTAACGAGCTACGACTCCTGAACTCTTCGTGGTTATAAATAAAGTATGTCGAACAACCTAAAGGTATGTTAATTAGTATTGTAAAACCTACCTCTGCTAGTCGTTTCCTGCCAGCTCCACTCTGTATTTGGTTCAAGTGAGGCCGTCCAGTAACCTAAAAAAGTAAAACTTGGTTAAGTTGGAAACAATACTCGACCAGAGAGAGAACGTTTATGCAAAATACAGAGAAACAGAGAGCACCTACCTGTGGCAATTTTTCAAACTCATTTTCCCAATCATCCCATGGTTCAAAGATTTCCAGGGGAACGTCCAAATCGAAAGTGGTTAACTGATTGAAATTCATGACTTCTTCTCACAATTCGTAAATGATTTGCTTGGTAAGGAATGACCATTTCATGTGTTTCGAAATAATAGAAAAAAACTGGCAGGTAAAAAATAAACCCTGACATCATCTTACCTGGAAAAAAATATGACATCATCATGACCAAGTAGGGATATGATATCACTATTCTATTTATAGATTATGATGTCAACCTTTTTTGATGACGTCAACCCCTAGGGTATTCTGACGTCACTTACTCCTTGCCAGCTGAAAATAGACTATGACATCATCCTATGTTAATGGAATGCATGACGTCATGGTCATTATTTTAAACTATGACATCATCCTATCTTAATGATATGTATGACGTCACCGGCGTTAATATATTCCCCCGAAAGTTAATGGAATTCCCCCGCAAAGAAACGGCGTAACCGGTTCCCCCCTACTACTTGCGTTATCGAGATATTTTGGGGTGAAGGTTTTATGGTTAGAAATACGGTAAAACTGGACAATCTTGATATTCGGTCGTTATTTGTAGAAAACGAAGCACTTTTGAAATGCAATTTCACCTCACAATAGTTTCAGTCTTTTTAAAAACGGATTTGAAAGATCACGGAGATAGCTCTAGCCGATTGCTATAGAAAGAAGGATTTTATTAGTATGTATAGAGGCGCTCTTGTTAGCGGTTTTTCTTTACATATTTGTGAACAAATAAGCGATAAATCTTAAAAACACTAGATAAATTTGATATTCTGGAGATTAACCGTCGTTTAATGTGACTTTTGAGTTTGTCGATTAGTGATATATTGTACTAAGGCAGTAAAATAAGGGCTACAATTCGCTATTTTTTTTTGGTCGGAAGCTTCGTGTATACAAGTGAAAGTCGCCCAAAGTCGCCTTAAGTCACCTTAAATCATTCAAATCTTAAAGAGGTTCAAATTGTCTCGTAGTTATTACTTTTTTAGTTTTCTATTCCCAGAATGCATGATTTCTCATAAAGTGTGTAATAACCCATGTTCAATAATATTAGCCACAGACCCACCCCACCCCCCACAGAAAAACTCCCACGGTGACTTAAGGCCCATTAATTTCTTCTCCAGCCCTCTAATTTATACATTTAATTACTTTCGGCAATTTAATACACGTAATAATTAGTTGTAAGCAATACATGAAATGACAACATATAGTACACAACTTTATCCAGTCACTTGTACAGGTATTTTATTAATTTCATCTGGGAGGTTTGTTTCATATTGCTGAGTAAAAGTGTTGTTTAAAAAGGCATTCAAAGGTTCAAGTTCTAGATAAATTATATTAAACAGCGTGCAAAGAGAGTATACAGAGTAGTGTCCAGGCAATAGCCCTGGGGTACTGGATTTTATGATTGGGCTAGTGAACTGCGTTTTTAACTTGCCTGGCTGGCAACTAAAGTTTTTTAGGGAATTCAGATCACAGAAGAACTGTAATCAGTCCCATTCATAAAAAAAAAAAAAATTGGGGCTAGTCAAAATGGCTTTCAGGCTAGTGTATGCTAGGCAAGCTGTAAAGCTGACTTTCCTTGCACCCTCGTCTCCTTGGGTCTTCCCTTCCAGACAGAAATACAAGCTTTGTACATCGAAGATGCGTAAAACTGCACTTTGTTTATGTTGTCGTGATTGCTCCCTGCCAAACGATTTGATGTAATCGACCATTATTGATAAAGAACGTAGAAAAGCCAAATAATACTGTTCTTTCCTCCACGTTATGGCCGCCCAGAAAGTATTGTGTTTTGATCACGTGACTAACTGGTCTGGAGGCGGGGACAGGGCGGGACCGAGAAACAATGGAAATTAGCTTGCGATTGCCGTGGAATTCTGGGAGAAGCAAAATGGCGGATAGTGTTACAGTGTTACAGTGTTTACATGTAAGTGTACACCTTTTCCATTTTTAACGTAACAATGAATTTCAGACGACAATGGTGTATTTTTCCGAATACTCTTCCATACAAAAAGTGTCACTTTCCGTGTTTTCTGTAACAAAGATTTTAATTTGTTCATCGGTAGTCTGCTGGGGGCATGACGGTAACCGGTCATTTCGTTCCATTGTCAGATCGTTGACTTCATTCCACGTCAGATCGTTCCAATCAATAGCCAGTCAGATCGTTCCATAAAATAGTCAGTTCGTTCCACAAAAGAGTCAGTTCGTTCCAAATATGAAAAGTCAAGTAAATCTTTCTAAATTTGTTGAGTGTACTTTATCAAGAAGAAAAACGTTTCGTTCATACCACAAGCTAATAAAATAATAATCGATCCAAAGTCGATTCGATCCATCCTAAATCGTTTGAAAACAAACAAGAGACGATTTCAACCAGCTACGGGCTTTAACATTTAAACCGCTGCTTTGAGAGTTTTTGAGCTAGAATCGATCGATAGTTTTGAAAGATATAGCACAACAAGTAAAAGCTATGCCGTTTTGAAGGTACGGTAATTCGAAGCGCTTGTAACCTAAATATTTCTTTGCAGCGCCCGATTTATGCAAATTTTGAAAACAACGCGAGTTTCGAATTACAATCTAGATTTTATGGTAATTTGTCTTGCCGAAAATATAATTGACTAACCTGGTTTAAACCAGTGAAATCGCAAGTTCTGTTATAAATAAATTTCCCACGACGAGATCTCAATTCGACTTCTTTTATTTCCCCCACAACACAATTTTCCTTCTGTACAACTAGCTCATTAACTTCTCTTCTCGTCACCTCGCTGCCATCAAAACACTCTAACACAAAACCTGCTGATAATGCAAAATACCGACGCACAGCATCGTACATGTACCGCGTCACAACATACACAGTTAGATGAAATAGCACAACACGCACTACAAAAACAAGTACATTAACCGTCACCCTGCTAAACAAAATTGAAATAATAAAAAGAATTGGTGCAGTTATCACAGTAGTTCCAAAAGAAGCCTCAGTCCCTTTTGGTTTCAATTGTTGACAATCGTCTCTTCCTTCATCGGAACAGATTTTTATCACAGGCAACTTGCTGTGTTCCGCAATGCAAAAATCAAAATCACTATTGTGACACTGATAACCAGCTACACAAATCTTGCGACTCTCAAACTTGTTCAACATTCCTCTGTTCAAACTCTTATCCATTTTACACGTACACTCCTGATATTCCGATTTGTTATAACGTCTATGGGGTCCATTAGTCTTTGATGTCATTGAATGTCTTGATAATTTCCTTTGTTTTTCTTTGAGTTCGCGGACCAGCCCATTCCGAAAACACTCAGTGTTATTTTTTAGTGTGGGCCTACCGCGAACAGTGTGTGCATTTGTAAGTTTAACCCGGGATAACATGATTGAACAATATATTAACACGTTCCTCGAAACGCCGCGGCCAAATGTTATCCAAACTGCTTCTCATTGCTGCTTCGAAAAATTTCAGATCAAACGATATCCAAATCGTCCCTCATTGGATTATCCACTCGACCTAACAAAATCGACCAATCACAAAATAAGGAAAAGAAAATGGACATAAAATAAAGAAAACAGCAAATTCAGATGACCTCTTAGGAAACATGCAATTAAATCTGTCTTTCTATGATTGGTGCATTTCGATCCTCTCGTCAAAATGTCAGAAGTCAATCATCTTAGCGGACCTCTTAGGAAACGAAAGTTTTCTTCAACGGGTCCAAAAGGTCATTGTTTATGATTTGTGATTGGTGGATTTCGATCCGTTTTTTGAGTTTCTGCGTTTCAAGGTTTTAATATTCCAAATATTTTTGATAGATTTCATCCCTGGACTTCAGACTTCCAAATTTCGATGAGGCAAAAATACTGAAGATTCAGATTAACTTTTGAGATCGTAAAAGTGCCATTAAGTGCCGTGTGCTAGCAGAACTTTCTTTCCCACATGACTCTTACCTTGTACAAGACGTTCGCATGGCAGACATTCGCCTCGCTTCGCTTGTTTACTTGCCTTGTTTACGTTAGCACGTATTGCGTGCCTATTGCACATTTGCGTCAAAACAAGCCGTTTCCATTACTCTATTTGGGCCACGCCCAAATAACAAGCGAATTGGGTTTAGATAAGGGATATTTCGATAGAATTTACGGAACGTTTCTTCTCTGGTTATGCTAGATCAAGAATAAAATTGTGACGACAATTTTACTTGTAGTTTTGAAGTAAAAACGCATGCCATTCATAAAATAGAGCGCAAAAAAAAATTCAACAACAACATATTGTCTTATTCAACAAAATAAATCGAAGTTGTATTTAACAAACGAGCTACAAAAGACGCTAGACCGAAGATAAAGACCAAGACTGTTTCAAATCATTAACAATTAGACTTGTCTGTCGCTAGTGATTTTATAATTTAGATGCTGATAGAACAAGAAACATCATCTTTGTTTTGATCTTAGGGAAACATACATTATCGTGCAAAATTGTTTCATCGTGCTGAATCACTGCGACGTCGAGAAAAACAGAACCAAGCATCATTGGTATACTACTCCACTATAAGCAGTCCGTTGATAAAAAGGGAAAGTAAACTCTGCTATTTTCCAAAAATATGCTCGAACACCAACAGTTCAAAAACATGGCATTTACAGGATCTAACTCGTACTAAGGCGCCTCTCTAAGTCCGTTGAGAACAATCTGGACGAGCAAACGGTCGTGTTTATCTTTACCGTGAATCCAGATAAATACAAGAAGGAATGTAGCCCAATTTTATAATGTTTCCTTCGCCAGGAGTTTAGTTTCGTCACGAAACTCATGGCCTGATGCTCTTGTAATCGTTTACAAAAAACGGCCGCCGCCAACTCGATAGCCGCTTCATTATATGTCCACATACTTTGAGCACAAGAAAAATCCAAGAGCCAGCAGCCTCTAAAATAACTCAATAGAAAGGTTCTGCGAACTATAGCAAAGATTCCATCAAAGATTCCATCACTCATTGTGGAGTAGCCGTCATTAACTCTGCCATTACAACGACCGCTGATAAGAGGACACAGTAAATCCACGTAAAAACATTCCACAGGCAAACAATTTCAAAATAACGTCAAAAAACTATTCTGTAATCACCACAGAACGATTCTTAATACAAAACTTCGCCAACTAACGAACGATGGCTGAGATTTAGACAGATAAAAACAGCCCTCCAAAATCTCCGACACAACTTGAAAAAGTCGGGCCGACTTTTTCAAGTTTGTTTTCATTGGCTCGCGCATACGTGTGGGGTGACATAGCCCCTTTAAGCCCCTTAAGTCGCCTAAAATTACGGCGACTTAAGATCCCAGAGTAGGCCTAGAAATGTTAGCTATTGTTGTCCACAAAAATATGAAAATTAGAAACAATGCTCTGAATAATGAGAGGCTCTCACTTGTCAACACGAAATTTTTAACAAAATCTATCCAGCGATTTCAAAAATATTGCTTAATTGTTAAAGTAGCCCAAAATGTTTACAAAACCGCGAACAATACATACTGATCAAATTCGTCTTTCTAGCAATCGGGTAGAGCTATGTCCGTGACCTTTCAAACACGTCTGAAAAAGATTGAAGCTGCTATGAGGTGAAATCGCATTTCAAATGTGCTTCGCTTTCTACAGGTAACGGCCAAAGATCAAGATTGTCCAGTTTTACGGTATTTCTAACCATAAAAACTTCATCCCAAAATATCTCGATAACGCTCTCATAGATTTCGCTTAAGGTGTTTCGATACAGTTTTTTAGAGGCCATACCGATATTTTTCAATCGCCTTAAAAGTGTTTTTTTCCTTGATCGCTATAAAATTTTTACCAGTAATCGGTAATGGATTGAAATTTGTGAAAATGCAGTTTTAAGTAAAATCGATATTACTATGACAACAATAAACAAAAAACTTTGAAATTGATAAAAGCCGAATTTTGTGTGATCTAGACCCGCTACCGAAAATCCAATGCTAGGAACTTAAAGTTTGGTGTTTAGCAAACAATCTCCGTAAGAAGTAAAAAATTCTCTCTGTTTAAATTCAACTAAAACGAAAATATATTTCAAACCTTAAATTTTCAATAGCCGTGATAGTTTATTTGATGAAAAAAGTTATAAATGACTCAAATTATACTTAAGCAGCCTCAGAATGCTGCTTAATATCATATGTTAATGCTAGGAAATTATGGTTTATTTTCGTTCTCGCGATCTTGAAAACTAACCCGTTTTCTCACCACCTGTATAAGTGCAACTTCATTCAAAATTTGGACTTTTAGCACTTTTTGTGTATCTCTCAAACGACTCGAACAATTTTTTTTTAAATCTCTTCACATAATCTTCATAATGTATATAATAATGTCTGAAACTTTCATTAGGATTGATTTACTGCAACACCTTGCCATATCATAAGTTTAAGAAAGAATGGAAGTCCTATCTTCTAACCAACCAAATCTGACCTTGCTTATATGTTCTATCACTGGTATTATCTGAGAATTTATTCCTCTCCTTACTGGTGCCGATTATTTCAACATGACGGTGTCCAACAAGAAAGCTCTTGCTACTTTAAACACTGTACACAAATGAACCAAAAACTCATAAGGGGTTGAAACGTGTAACTCTCATATGTTTGCTTTGTTCGATGCTCGTAATTATTCATTTTCGAAAGTACCATATTTGGAACGACAAGAAGAGGTAACTGACCAATCAAACTTCGTAAACAACGTGACGTAGTCTTACTTCAAGTTCCCGCGCCCGCTTGAAAAAAATGGCCGACAAACGGGGGAAAAACTCCCGAAAGCCGAGAATGCTTTCAAAGGTTGAAACCAGGAATCTTACCGAAACACTGAGCAGAATATTATAACCTTAGCACCCGGGCCAAACACAACATTATGAAACCCACTGACGTCCTCGCAACTTCATGAAGTTGTCACTTCAGAAAACGATGCCTCGTTGACCCTCTGCCGGCAGTAAACTTATACTGCAAATAGGCTATGAAAATTCTTATATTAAAAGTCTAGAATAAACAGTAAAAAATATTTTCGAATAAAATTCATTAGCTGCGTATCAGAAAGTGTCCAAAACCTGAACCTGACATCTTTGCAAAAAGTGATGCTTGTAACGAATGTGAGAAGCATTTAAGAGCGAATGCACAGAAAAATCGAACAAAATCGGCAAATTGTGGCCACAGCTCAAAACCTAACCTACCCTCCTTTTCAGTCTGTAATAAGGCTTTAATGAGTTTATAACACTGCTGAGGTTTAAATTTCAAAATGCGGCCAGGTTTGGGAATTATTTGAGATTTTCGATTTCAACGGTCTGCGGGCCTAAAATTAGCCGCCGCACACGGAAAAATAGCCCAGTGACAGAATTGACCTGACTTTCATAAACGAGCGAATATATTGGCAATCTTCCACTTAAATTTCACAAAACAGATACCTAACAATTTCTAAACGACACATTTTTTAGTTGTAGAGAATAAAATATCGACGAACGAGCACAATTTTGAAGCGTAATTTGCATAATGCTTATAAATGCAACAATTTACCGCTAAAACCAAAATCGAATTTCTATATGGGGGAATTCTCCAAATCACCCCAACTCCCGGTTACTTCCCAATGAGATATAGTACTTGAACATTCTCTGAAAGTTAGTCTGGTGTTCTCGCGAACGCTTCTAAAACAGACTGATTATTTTGAGGTTATTTTGCCCCAAACAACTGCTAATTGACCGCAGGGTCAATTGACACGTGCACGTCACCTTAGTTTTACGCGTCGATTTGAGTGCGTTAAAAGGGAGAAACTAACAAGATTCTTGTTATATGTACATGCTTTAATGAATTGCATGCAATCTTCAAAAGGAGAGGCCGTTCAATGAGTAATTTTTGTTCTTGAGATCTTGTAGATCGGAGCATTGCGTCTACGAGCGAACCTGGGTCTAGGTCTGTTTTCCCGTGACTGCGAAATCAAAATGACAGCAAGAAACAATTCTCGTTCGAATCTTCGTAAATGAATCAGCTTTGAGTGCCTTACCTGAGATAAAAAGTGGGCCGAGTAGGAAAGCATTCTAGCGCAATTTGGATCCTTTGCAGCACGCAGTGTATTTGCTGAGTGGCGACGGTTAATCTATGACTTTACCGGGTTTGGTTACTCACCTCCGATTGCGTTACCAGGTAATTACCGATTGTGCAAAAAAATAAGTGCACGGGAAACCAAAGCTCTCCGGGTACAGTAAAATTTATTCTCCTGTATGACCAGCTGTCCTTTTCTCCGGTTTTAAAAGTGGTTAACTAAGATGGTTAGCAAA